TTTTGAGTATCACATTGCTGTTTTCAGCAGTATCTCAAAGTGGCATTTTACTCTAAGAAAAGTAAGAATTTCAAAGCAGTTCAAGCCTAGTTCTTGAAAGACGTTTTTGCCAGGATCACCAAAGCAGATGGACCTCATGTGTCGAGCTGAGATTTGGGAAATTGAAGCAGAGCTATCCAACTCGAGGATGGCACGTGGCTGTGTCTAGCTCCCTGTTCTGTGTCTCGCACATGGTAGAGATGGGCTTTTAATATTGAGGCTGGGATGATAATTTATAGAGAACCACAGGCTGAGGTTCAGATCCCATTGAAAATGGGATTGAAAAATGCCCCAGACCACATTAAACTATCCCCCATATTCAAGGGATGCTTTCCAGTGGGCCCCTAGAATTTCTAACTTTTATTTTTGTCTTACTGTTTGATTTATTAGCTCTGGTACCTCAGCCAAGGAATATAATTTATCTGACACCCCCTTTCTTCATCAGCACAAGGGCCACCAACAATTTATTTTACAGTATTTATTGAGCAACTACTATGTGCTCAGCTCTTTACCAAGACCTTTCTAAATCCTGAAAACACAGAGGTAAGTAGGTCTTCAGAGAGTTTACATTCAACTGGGAGAAGACAAGCAATAGATTTGTTTATTCTTCAATTAACTACCTTGCTTTTTAAATATTGCTATCTTTTTTTTTTAAATTTATTTAATTTATACAAGCACTGGGTACAGTCAGAAGCGCGGGAGGGTGAGAGAATTCACCAGAGCCAGAGCAGGGAACAGAACAGGCAGACTGACGAAATACACTGCTGAGGGGAGCAACAGGCGGCAAGAGAGGTCTGCCCGCCACGTGGGACCCTCGCTGGCAGCGGGGATCGAACCGGCGCTGCAGAGGCTGCGGGCAGCTTCGCAGCCCAGTGCTCAACCTCTGCACCACCAGGGGAGGCCCGTTATTTTATTTGAAGGCTTAATCCTGCAAATTTTACTCAGAGAATTTGAGTTGCACCCCCTCATACTTTACCCCCTTAAGTGATACTATGAACCCAGGGGGCATTTGGTGTTTGATACTACATTTTCATACTGTCTGTTCTTTGGCTATTAATTGACCTGTCATTGCAGACACAGCCTTCCCTATCTATGTGGCCTCTTCAGGCCCAACCACACACTCACCATTTCTGTGTTCCTCTTGCAGCTATAGAAGAAATTCTACTTCTTGCAAAGCCTGCTGAGACTCAGCACCTCAGGTGGCCTCTCTATACCTGCTTCTCCCACACACTCCGAGCATCACCTTTCTCTTGGTAATCCTGTTACCTTTGCAGGTCTATCTCTGAGACTTAAGGCATAGGCTCCCCCTCTCCCAAGTCGCCCACCCTGATACATTGTGCCTCTTCTCCAGGGCGCAACCAGTGACTTCTGCCCTCCGTCCCCCACTTGTCTCCTCTAATCCTTAATAAAAATGAGGTTTTCCATCTAAACAAAATCTTTTTCTACCAAGTTCTGTTTCTGTCCAACACTGGGTTTATAGCCCAGACTCTATTATTACTTCCCCACAGTTTATTCATGGTTCCAAAGACCTAGGCTCAGGAGGCTGTCTTTGGCAACACTCAAGAGTGACTCTTCCAGTGCTTTGTTTTCATGTGCGGAGACGCACTGGGTAGTGCTCTCTGCTGTTTATGGACACCCAGCATCACAGGGAAATTGCAGCCACAGCCTCAGACTTTTGGAATCTTGCTACCGCCTGCAAAGCAGACGGCGGGTTTCTCACACTGGACCCGGGCGAATCCTCTCTTCTTATCAGCTTCCCTCTGTGTCTCTTCCTGCTCCCAGCAGGAAGAAATTTTCCTAGAGGGAAAGCCCTTTTTTATTTCAAACTGTACTTCTCCCATGCATCATGGTTCTACTCCAGTCCACCCCATTTCACCAAGTAGACCGGGCTTTAGGAAAACAGCAAGAGATTCTATGTAGTCCTACTTCTCATCCTGTCTCATCTGTCCTGGAGGCAAAGCAATAAAAGCAGCTGCTGGAGTCGAGAGGTGAGGCTGCACAAAACAAAGGGGAAAACATTCAAGAGGGAAAAAACACACTCTAAAGAGTATTTTACCCAAAGAACACAAAAACACTATAATTTGAAAGGAAATCTGTACTGCTATGTTCATTGCAGCACTGTTTACAATAGTCAAGATATGGAACAACCTAAATGTCCCAGAACACATGAATGGATGGAGAAGATGTGAGCTACACACACACACACACACACACACACACACACACACACACACTGGAATTTTCGGGGGCTGGATTCCTCCTTGGGTGTCACCATCTAATCCTGAGTATGGAATCGCCAACATCCACTTGGCAACCCGTGAATTCATTTGTATGCATCACTTTATGCAGTGGTACATTTTTAATTAGAATTTAAAGTCTGATGACAATTTTTGGTCTTTTGGAATGTAGTTCTGATACGAGAATGGGAGGGATACTTTTTTTACTAGCAGTTACCATGCAGGACACTCGTGTAACCACTTCCTATGTCTTACTTCACTTCATCCTCATAAGACTATGTAATTGATATAGTTTCTATTCCCATTTTACAGATGATGAAACTAAGACACAGAAAATTTGAGTAACTAAAAAATCATCCAGCTAATTTTAGTTGAAGTCTGGATTTGAACCCGGAGAGCCTGGTTCCAGAGCTCACATTCTTCACAACCAAGCTGAACATGACTGAGGGAGTAGGTGCTAAAAATGCTGCTTCCAACGTGCTATTTCATGCTGGCTGCAAACTTTCCATTTGCTTTATAAAGAAGTTCCATGGGGGGAAGGAGAGGACTGGACTCACAATGCAGTTGCTAGTTGGGTTTAGAGAAGTAGTAACTTATCCTTTGCATCTGTTCTAATTTTGTAGTTGGAAAAGCATTTTTAGATACATTAACTGGTTTACAACCCTGCGAGATAAGTAAATCATCAGCTCCATATTACAATTGGGGGTGGGGGGAAGCCCAATCATACAACCGGGGATTCCTCGGGTCATGTTAATAGGAAGTGATAGGGCCTCCCCAGTGGCGCAGTGGTTGAGCGCTGGGTTGTGAAGCTGCCCGCAGCCTCTGCAGCACCAGTTCGATCCCCGGCCACTGGGCAAGGATCCCACATGGCGCACAGACCTCACCTGCCACCCGCTGCTCCCTCAGCAGTGTATTTCGTCAGTCTGCCTGTTCTGCTCCCCGCTCTGGCTCTGGTGAATTCTCTCACCCTCCCACGCTTCTAACTGTACCCAGTGCTTGTATAAATAAATAAATAAATCTTAAAAAAAAAAAATAGGAAATGATAGCTCAGAACCTTCAACCCAGACCTTTTGGTTTGTATCCAGGATTCTTTGCTTGTTTGTATGCTTGCTTGTTTTAATATTCAAACGGGCAGGTTTTTATAGAAAGGGAAGGGAAGTCAAGGATGCTTGCATAAACACAGGCAGGCAGAAAGCGCTGCCGGGAAAGGCATAGTTTTGTTAGAAGGGACGCCTTCATAGTCCCAGGGGGACCGCCTCGGGAGGGGAGCTGCCTCTGCTGCTTTGCAAAGGGGGAAGTTTGGTGAAGAGAAGTGCCTGCATAGTCATGGGTGGCCAGGAGAATTGCTGCCTCTGTCCAGAATTCTTTCCTTTCTGGTTGTGTTAGACTTTGGAATTTCTGCACATATTACTAACCCAATAATTGTATTGGAAATGGACTCTGTAACTCCATACGGATATACACCCATGAAATATGTGTGTGCAGAGGTAGATGTGTGAGCATTAGAATGAAAAATATTCAACTGTGTACCATCTACAGTCATCTTGCATAAAGACTGTTCTGTCCCATGTGGAAAATTGCTGGCTATTTAACTTCCTGCATACGAAGAGAGAGCTCAGCTTTTTTATTTCATTGGCCATGTCATCGGGGCATATAACACTAAATGTTAGGACACAAACCAAAGATGCTGTAAATTATTTGCATACTCTAATAGGTAACCCATGAAAAATGTGGTGCTTTTAATTTTTTTAATTTAGGGACTTTAACTCTTCATAGGAATCTTAAACTAGGTTCTTTCCTAAAGAATCCCTCACCTTACCATAGGAGGTTCAATTTCTACTAAACATTTTCTCCTTTAAGCTTTTATTGCAGTAACAATGGCCTATAACATGTTGTAGGTTTGGGGTATGCAGCATTAGAAATCAGCATCTGTAGAGACTGCGTGATGGGCTCCACCAAATAGCTCAGTAGAGAACAGGCGACTTTTAGAGACTTTCGGAGCTTGCTGGTGTAACTCGGTTGCTAAGGGAACCTCTCCACATGCGATCTACAACCTGATTCACTGACCCAGTCATTGATTCAGGCTTGGTTTCAGAAAGTGTCCTCTCCTACCTGCCTCTTCCTCCCCAGTAGCACTGACCAGCTGCCTGGGCTCCAGCAGTATGGAACCGTTGGCCGTGAGCAGGCTGGGATGCCAGTGTTTCCATGGACACCCAGAAAATCAGTCTGCATGCCCATCATCAGTGTGCTTGTGCATACTTGTGTTTCGCGTGCACATAATCTTGTACACGCACAGTCTACATGACAGCACACGCAACTACAGAGGAACAGTCCTCTTAAGCAAAATGGGAAGATGATGTTCTTAAGGGTGTCCATACAGGAATGTTCCAGAATGGTTCTGTGCAGGAAATGGTATGATTGAAATAACTTCCTGTGTCTCTAGATAGCCACTTGAAGGGACAGGCATCCTTTGTACTCGTAAATACTGCTGGATACTCTAGAAATCAGCCACTTTCATCAGTCATTTATCTGAGTTAGGTTTTTTATTTTTTTTTATTTTTGGTTAAAATCTTTTCTTAGCATATTTTGGAACCATCTGAGATAAATGGCTGAAGAGGCAGAGGAGCGCTCCTGCAGAGCTGGCCCTGTCTCTCCCGCCGGCACCTGTAACGACAGGTGATGTATAGAACGACGCATCCTATAACCATGCTCTCCCGTCCACAGGCATTTCCTATTCAAAACAGGAACAGGGACGACGCCGCTGTTCAGTACTGCAACCCCAGGATACACGATGGCATCTGGCTCTGTCTACTCGCCGCATACTCGGCCACTCCCTAGAAACACCCTATCAAGAAGCGCTTTTAAATTCAAGAAATCTTCCAAGTACTGTAGCTGGAAATGCACCGCGCTGTGCGCCGTAGGGGTGTCCGTGCTCCTGGCAATACTCCTCTCCTATTTTATAGGTAAGAACCGATTTTTTCCATTTATTTCGTCTATAAATCCAAACGGCAGATGGTGGCTCTGTTGGTTTTATTTATTCGGTCAAGAAGTTGGTGATGAGCTTATGTTGGGTGCGGCAGAGCCGGGTAAAATATGCTTCCCGGAGCACTTTCAGAAATTGTCAGCCTGTTGAAATAGAAAAGCCGCATTTGTATCAAGAACGAGGTCTCACTTGGATGACAGCTAGTTTGACTTAGCCCGGTGCGACCTGAATCGTTCTATGACGTTCCACATGTGCAGTGAGGCCTCGGCCTGCAGGAAGGATCTCGGGGCACTCTCCCCACAGCACCCTCGGCAGGGAGCTCTCAGCACCTGCTAACGTCACCCGCCTTTCAGCTCACTCAGCTGTCTAAATGCAAAACTCGTCACTCAGGACCATCATCTTGCACTCAGGAACACTCTCCAGAGAATGATGCATCCATAAAACAATGAATGGATTATATGCTCTGTCAGATAGGGGGGATTTTTCATCTTTTCTGATGTAGTATTGATCAAGTTTTCATTTAATAGTAACCCCAATGATGTTAGCTGCTAATAGAAGTTGTAAATATTCCTCTGATTTAACTATTTCACAACACCGAGGAGCATTCAGGCTATTGGAAATTGCGTTTTAAAATGTCAGAAATGACCACATTGCATTTTGAGCTGCTTCTAAGTGTGGGGGAAGGTCCAGCACATGGAAATGCTAATGGTGTCCAGTGAGATAAATCATAGCCTGTGTGGTTTTTCCACCAAGAACAGCAGCCACTGATGCGTTCTCAAGTTTACAAAGCGATCTGTGGTGCCCCATGAAATTGTACAGCTGAATATGAGTAATACCGAGCTGTAGCTAACAACCTAGGATGCTTTTGCAGGGAACCAGTTTCTATCATTAGCAACAATACCCATTGGTTATAAATGATGGCCTTGAAAAGTGAAATAACCATGTGGAGTTACAACCTTTAGGAGAAAAATAGAATTTTACAGCATGAAGGAACTGGAGAGATAATTGAGTCAGGGAGGGCAACTAAGCGGAATGTTCCAATGATTACTGCCAATTCTTTGACCATGGCAATGGCGGACATCACTAATGAATCCGGCACCCTTTCCCCCGAACCCACATCCAGGCTTATTATCCCATCACAGTGCTTCACACAGCACCTCACAGAGCCACTGTCCGTCAGAGATGAAAGCAAGAGGAAACCTTTGTGTCATTTTTCAACCTAAGTTAACTCCCTCTTTGTAAAAATGGTCAAGCCAGGTACCCAAAGGGTTGTCACTTGGCTGAGATCACACACTAATGAAACTCTGCTGTGCAGTCTCCTAACACCCAAGGTAAGTGAGGAATAGCACAGCCCAAATCCGTGCTCAGAGACAGATTTCTAGTTTTCAGCTGGAAAATACCAGCTATTAAGAGAAGCTCTCCTAGTTAGTTGCATAAATTATTTGTATCTGTTCGCAATGTGCTAAAGAATTTTAAACGATTCTGAAATATACTCATTTTAAGTGGGATGTAATAAATTAAGCAGATATATTTTAGGGTTTTATTTTTGGGGGTTTTTTGGGGTTTTTTTTTGTTTATTTTTTGTTTTTTTTTACTGAGGTGCATCCCAAACAGACAGTAAACACTGTAGAGGGCTGGAATTCACTATCTGTGCTAATGTGTTCTTGTTCGACATCCTTCCTGATCATATAACATTTTAAATATAATATTTGCTCTGATACTTTTTAATTTGATTTGTGTAATGTCACACTATCAAGAAAAATGGCAAGTCAATGTGAGATTAGATCACTGTTGTTTTCAAGACTTGTGTTCTTTTCAAGAATTCATTCGTAAATATCATTATCAGAATTCTAAGTAAGAACTCAGAATGTCCCTTTTTTTTCAAATTGCCTGTTTTGTTGTTAGTTAGCATTGTACTTTATTCCTACGGTACCACTAAGATAAGCTTCTCCCTTTAATTTCATTTTCCCCACATGGAAATCTGCAAATTCTGTGGTTAATGTACGCATGTACTCTTGTCATTGCAGCAGTTATTTCTTGAACATTTGCTATGAGTAATTATTGTCCTGGAAATTAAAGCGATACATTCCAAGTGTTACTGGCAAAAATTACTTGTATCGTGAAAGAATTATCTCCTCCTTTTATTGTTGTAATCAAGCACCAATATACTTAGAATTTTCACTGGTTTTCCGCGTGCTCAAATGGCTAATACACTAGCCTAAGGTCTTCTTAAAAATTGGGTAAAGATTTTATTTCTTCATCAACATGAGAAATCTTTTGTTAAATAAAGATTCTCCTTTTCCTCTTGGGAAGATGTCCTTTCGTAGCGAGTGTCCAGCAGAGAAGGAGAGAAGGGACTCTAACCTGTTCCAGCGAGATCATTGTGACAAACCCCAGAATTAATGGGAGACCAATGTCATTGTCAGATTGACCTCACAACCCTTAACAAAAGTGCAGCCATCTTTGGCTGTGTTTTTCCACTGCCTTAGAGACCCCCTTCTGAGATTGACTGTCCATGAGAAGTTAAAGCCTTGGGAATAAGTCAAAGAAAAAAGCTTGAGGAATTATTTCAGTCCTAGAACTTTCTTGCTTTCCAGTAGAGTACATTATAAAAATGTAGAATTAACATGTCTCTTCTCTAAAATGAAGTTCATCTCAGATTCATCAAGGTGAATAACTGCTGCAAAGGAGGGAGGGAATAGGTTTTGTTTTTGTTTTTTTTTTTTCCTATTCTTATCAGAATCTCAGAATAAAAAAAGGTCTAAAAGAAAGTGAAAATTAATATTAATTCCCACAGGTAATATTGTTATCTTTTCAGCTATTTTCCCTGCATGTATGCAGGTAGAATTAAATATTTTTAAATGTACTTTTTTTCCGGGCTTTTTCACTTATCATTCATGAAACATTATAGGTCTATAATTTTATTTTGTGGCTGTTTTTAATTAACCAGTCCCCGAAATGCAGTATTTTCTTGAGCTTGTATGTGTGTGTTTATGCAATGGATCACATTTTTGATCAAAATAAATTCTTTGAATGAAATTTGCTGTACCATAGGGCGGACATGTTTTAAATTTTGTAAACTGTGGTCACGTCACCCTGGGTAGTGAACTATCAGTGCTATCCATTATCAATATTTTTAACTTTTGCCAGTTTCTTAGGTTAAAACATCTTATGTTTTCATCTGCTGCTGGGAAGGCTAAACATCTTTCCTTTATTCATAGACCTTTTCGCCCATTTTTCTAATAGGGCTTTTCTCCTTTTTTTATTTTTCAGTTGCTTATTCAGGATGTGAGTCATTTGTTATGTAGGTTATATATTTTCTCAGTTTATTATTAATTTTGTTCATAATTGTTTTTTGCCATGTGTTATATAGAATTTTTTAAGTGATTATTTTTAAAATGCTGTATGGTATATGGCAAAAACAATTGTGAAATTTATCAGATTTTTTCTTCCTATTTTTGGAAGGACACCAAAAAAAAATTACACTAAGTAATTTTCTTAATTCACTTACATTTTCTTGTGGTACTTTCACAGTTTTCTATAATCATTTTTAGGTCAGCATTTTTCTGGGCTCTCTGATTGATGTTCCAGGTACAAATTAGCTCTTCATTCTAGAAACTCGTAGCCCTATGATACAAACCTGGGTGAAAAAACTCAGTTTTAATAGTACATGCTTTTAGAGCAGGTCAGCCATCAGAACAAAAATAAAAGAGAAAAGAACATTTTCACTGAAGGTACTGGGGAAAGACTTGATTTAGCAGATGAGGCTTGAAAGATGAGGAGTTGAGTCTGTTAGGTTTGGTGACAAAATGCTTAGTGGGACCACCCAGGACCCGGAGAGGAAGAAACTCTTGCACAGTCCACAGAGGGTTCATGGGGTCTCAAGGTGCCTCCCGCCGCATCTCACAGCCTCCCTAGGAGCCGCTACCTCCATTTTTGAAATAGGAGCCTGCTGCTTAGAGAAACATCTCACATAGCCCCACGGCCAGGCAAGGAGGGAAGCTGGCCTCAAACAATCAAGGGCCCCTGGGAGGCTGCACCGCCTCCCAGGAGGTTTGAGAAGAACTGGAATTAGGGATGAAATGGAAGAAATGAAAGCAGAGCTGTGAAAAAGCATCACATTTATATGTCAAAAGATTGCTTTCGTGGCGTTCCAGAACATGTAATTTGATGAGAGGAAGTCCAGACTTGTGCTTTACCCGCTCAGATGTGCCCAGGCGTCACTGGGGATCTTGTTAAAATGCATATTCTGATTCAGCAGATCTGAAGTGAGAACCAGGAGTCTGCAATTCAGACAGGCTCCCAGGTGCTGCCGCTGGGTCCACAGACCCACACTTTGAGTAGCCAGGCCCCGGGCAGCACAGCCAGATGCTCTGTTTGAGGATGGAAATGTTCTATTTCTGCACTGCCCAATTCAATACCTGTCAGACTCAGGTGGCTATTGATCACTGGAAATGTGGCTGATGCAACTTAGGAATTGAAGCTTACTTGTCCTTTTTAATTCATTTTAATTCAAACAGCCGCACGTGGCTGGGGGTGAGCACGTGGGCAGGACAGGTAAACATTTAGGGAAGTGGTGGAAATGGAAGCTCACAGGCCCCCAGGGGGTACAGGAGGGAGCAGAACTGGGAATCTGTGCCTGGTAGGTCACAGAATAGATGTGCTGTCGTTTCTTATCCCAATTTTTAAAAAACCAAATGTCTAAGCATGCTTGTAGCGCGCCTTTTTTTTTTTTCCAGCAAAAGCACCTTGTGATTTTCTTTAAATTCCTAAGCTGCCAATTAAAATCCATCTGTATTGCATTTATCTTTCAGTGACTGTCTTTGACCTTTTAGAAGTTCTACTCAACACATATGTTATGTTTGATGGTAATCATTTGATGATCCAGACCTGTCAGAAAAATAACAGACCCAGTTTTTCTGGCCTCTTACTTTTGACTTCATTCTTCTTTCTGTGTTGTAATAGTCAAAAAGTATAAAG